CTCTTCCCTCCCTAAATGCAACAGCTCCTCTCCCTGCGATGGCCAGCTCGCCGCAGCCCTTAGCCATCCCCACACGGTTCGGAGCCTACGCAGCTCGTTGCATGGTGCTAACAGAGAGAAGTCAGGGCACGGCGTAAGGACCCCCCTGCAAAACGCTTGGCCCCCGGGTGATTTCTCGTAGGATGCTTTTCAGTGCGGAGCTCCCAGCAGCAGGACTCATCCTCATCATTATTTTTACATCCTTGGCATCTCATCGAACGCGAGAGGTTTGGGGTTATGGGGAAGGGGAACCCAGTGCTGGTGAAATTGTTCTGCCATCGGACAAGCCCGTGGGCAGCTCTCCTCTGCCACGGATCACAGCTCCAGTGAGAGGCTGCAAAACCACAAACGGGATTTAAAAGGAGCAGGGAGGGGGAGAGGGAACAGCAGGTTTGTTTTCCAGGGTGGCTGAGCCATGCTGATGGCTTACTGCCACCAAAAAAAAAAGACCTTTTTCCCCTTTCTTTATGCTCATGCTTGTTCTTGTCCTACTGTGAGCTGCTTCAAAGAGCTAACTGGTGCAAATGCTAACCTTGCTCCTAGTTTTGCCCTCTTCCCTGCCAAAAAACAGAAGAAAACTGAACAATCTGAATAATTTTTTATTTTTCACTGTGGTTGGTGCCAGCACAAGGCAGTCGGGTGGTCTCAGTTGAGCCACTACATTTTAGCATCCTACTGATAGCAGCAGTAGTTTGTGGGGTCCCAGAAAGCCAGGTAGAATTCAGATCATGTCTCCTCCTCACCCACAGAAAAAGATTGCCTCATTTTCCAGGAATTAGGAATATGTCAGCGGTGGGGGTAAATCCTGCCTTTGATGGCTCATGGCTGTATCCCAGTAGGATCTGGGCAGTTTCTACAGCCCTGAATACTAATTCTTTGCTTTCTGGAAGCACAGGGAGGTGGTCCTGCAACCAACCTCCCCCTATAGCAGCAGCACACACAAGGACTATTTTTAAGCTACTTATTATTTTATAAAGAGATTATTTCTTCTTTTTTTCCCCCTCAGCATCAATCATCTTGACAAGATCCGCTTATTTTAAAACATAAGTCCTGCAGCCTCAAACCCAGCCTTTCCTATAGGAAGCTTCTGAGCAGCATACGGGATATATAAAAAAATGCATAGATATAAAAATCTACAGATATAAAAAAATATTGCTGGAAACGCCGGTAGCAATTTTTCAGGTTTCTAACCCTAAAAGGAAGGTTTAAAACGAAGACACAATGCTGAGCATCCCAACCCGCCGGGGCAGCGGTGCCGAAGCCGGTTCCTTTCTCCTCGGTAGAGCCGGCGCCGTGACGTCAGGGTGTTTTTCTGCAGAGCTCGCAGGATGTTGCAGCCGGCCAAGAGCTGTGTTTATGTTGATAACATTACAAGTATTTCCTCTCCGTTTCCGAAACCAGCAGGGAGGGAGCTGAGGGGGAAGGGAGACTCGGGTTTCTCCAGCTTTGGGGTAGGACTCTCGAGGCCTTTTATGTTAAGAAGCGGGTAACGACGTACTGCTGGCATTTATTTATACTGCATTTGGGAATAGGGAGTGTTTAATAGCCGGGGCTGGGAGCTGGGCTGGCACAGCCCTCCCCTTGCGCAGGGCTCTTTCGCTTGCTCTCTGCTCCGGATCCGGTTTTAAGGTGATAAAGCAGCGCTGGCAGCTGATTGCCGGTCACAGGAGCAGCTCCCAGGATTTTTGTCGGGATGCTCTCAGGGCTGCCCAGCGTCCTGTTTCTTTTGACATTCACAGTAATAAAGCCATAAAAACTCGGGATCCGCACTGCATCCAGCTTTCTTCACAAAAACGGGGAAAGGCTTGGGGTAATTTGATATGCTGTCCCCTTGCCAACCCTTTCCTCCTAATGCAATCTGCTCAAGGATCAATGAACTTATTAAATGTTAATATCAAGGGGGTTTTTAAGGCAGGCAGCTGCCTGCCCGCTGATGTCATCCAGGGCATCAGAGCTGTGCTGTCAGCTCAGCGAAGAAAGGACCTGCATCAGTGGTCGGACTGATGATCTTAAGGGTCTTTTCCAACCTAAATCATTTGA